TTGTGTGCTTATTGGTCCCAGTTGTTGAGTCGGATGAGGGTGAGCTCAGATGCTCTGTGGTCATTTCCTGTGCTGTGCTTCTGGGACATTGAAATGGTGAGCCAGCCGAGCAGGGCGGGGTGGGATCCCCTTCCATTGAGCTCCCGTGGATGATGAGCACCATTCAGGAGCTACCTGGGGGCAGGGCTGGGACTGAATCCCACTGGGGTGACTGTTCTCATGGGACACGAGTCCAGGGCATGCATGGCGGCTCCTCCGGGTCATCTCAGGCCAGCTGCTTCTGTCTCTCCTCTGCGGCCTGGAGCAGCCCACTGTCTCCTGGTCATGAGCTGGCCTGTGGGCACCAGCACCACTCTTCTCCCTGCAGGAAGAGCAGGCTCCATCCTTCTTTTAAGGCACGCCCCCACCACGACTTCTGTTTTCCTCTCATTGGGCATAATCGTGTCACATGGCCGCTCAGTTGCAAGGGAGCCCAGGAAGGGGGGTTTTGCAGTGGGTGTGTGGGCCGTCCAGAAGACCTGGCTGCTTGTAATAATGCCATCAGTGATCCTGCTGTCACTTTGGCCTTTCTTACGTTGCTGATTTGGCTTATATTGCCAGAATGGTCTTGATTCTGGGATATGTGAGCCTGAAGTTAGCAGTGTAAAGCGGCACCTAATGTATGTTTTGGTCAAATGTGCATTTGTCACATTTGTTAAAAAAAACAACAAGGTTTGGTCAGAGCTCAATGTCACCACCTTTGGGTGAATTTATGTGATATAAGAATACACCTGAGATTTTGTTTAAAAAATTCTTGCAGTTTCATCATTACATACTTGAATGGGAAAATCTGCTATTCACAGTGCAAGGCCAGTATGCTCCCTGTTGCAGCTGCCCATGAGGCAGCCCTCTCAAGGGACACTGACGTCTGCTACCTCTAGCGTGGTCAGGCAGGAGCAAGACGTCCATGGCCAGCTCCAATGGTGACGTTGTCTGCACGCCCTTGAGCTGAGCAGGAGCAGTTGTATTGGAGGCGTGTGGGTGACGAGAGAGGTTAACAGCTGCTTTTTGTGTGAAACTGGAGACAAATGAGGACCAGGCATTCTGCCCACGTGGGTGTGTATGATCGTGTGCATGACAGCTGATGTGCATGGTGGTCATAAGTGTGCACAGTGTTGGTGTGTGTGCATAGTGGCCATGGGTGCGCATGGTGCTGGGCGTGCACAGTGGTTGTGGTTGTGCACTGTGGTAGGTGTGCAGTGTCTGGGCATGCACAGTGACCATGGTGTGCACAGTGGCTGTGGATGTGCATGGTGCTGTGTGTGCAGTGTCTGGGTGTGTAGTGATGGGTGTGCACACTGGGTGCACAGTGGGTGTCCATGGTGTCTGTGGGTGAGCATTGTGGGTGTGCATGGTGTCTGGGTGTGCATAGTGGTGGGTGTGCATGGTGTCTGGGTGTGCATGGTGGTGGGTGTGCATAGTGGTGGGCGTGCATGGTATCTGTGGGTATGCAAAGTGGGTGTGCATAGTGGTGGGCATGCATGGTTTCTGTGGGTGTGCATAGTGGTGGGTGTGCATGGTGTCTGGGTGTGCATAATGGGGGGGTGTGCATAGTGGTGGGTTTGCATAGTGGTGGGTGTGCATGGTATTTGGGTATGCATAGTGGGGGGTGTGCATAGTCGTGGTTGTGCATGGTGTCTGTGGGTGTGCATAGTGGGGGGTGTTCAGTGGGTGTGCATGGTATCTGGGTATGCATAGCGGTGGATGTGCATGGTATCTGGGTATCCATAGTGGGGGGTGTGCATAGTGGTGGGCGTGCATGGTGTCTGTGGGTGTGCATAGTGGTGGGTGTGCATGGCTTCTGTGGGTGCACAGTGGTGGGTGTGCATGGTTTCTGTGGGTGTGCAGTGGTGGGTGTGTATAGTGGTGGGCGTGCATGGTGTCTGTGGGTGTGCATAGCAGTGGATGTGCCTAGTAGGCATGCTGTACAGTGTCTGTGGGTATGTGTAGTGGCGGTGGTGTGCGCAGTGGTAGGTGTGCAGTGTCCACTGTGGTAGGTGTACACAGTGTGTGGGTGTGCACAGTGGCTGTGGGATGCATAGTGGCTGTGGGATGCATAGTGGTGGACGTGCTGCACAGCATCTGTGGGTGTGCACAGTGGCCATGAGTGTGCATGGTGGTGGGCTTGCACAGTGACCTTGGGCATGCAGTGTCTTGTTCTGCTGTAGTGCTGGTGGCGTGGTGTCCACAGGTTGGCTGAGCACTGGCAGCTCCTGCGGTGAGTGTTGCTTCCTGCCCGATGGGACTTCTTTGGTCTTGCTGCTCCTCCCTTGGTTGAGGTTTTCTGGAGCTCTGAGCGCCCTCGCCCTGAGCTCAGCACTGTTGTCTGTGAGAAGAAGCCACATCAGGCTCTGGTGACATATACTTCACCCTGCCCAGCCCCAGTAACTGCTGTGGACCAGGTAGCAAGAAGATTGCCCTGAGTGGTGCCAGGGGTGGGACCCGTGGCTGGGCCTCCATGCTTGGGTGTCTGGCTCTTTCACTAGGTGATGGCTTCGCTGATTCACTGTTGCTTGCTCCCCTTTTCCTGTTTCTGGGGCTTTTCCTTGCCTGGCCACCTGATCAAACGATTGTTGTATGTGATGTGATTCACACAAGTGCTTCTGACTTAAGCCCAGAATCTGCCTGCCACTTGCCTCATGCCTGTGATCCCAACACTTCAAGAGGCCAAGGCTGGAGGATGGTTTGAGCCCAGGAATTCGAGGCTGCAGCGAGCTATGATCATGCCACTGCACTCCATCCTGAGTGACAGAGCAAGACTCTTGTCTCTAAATAAAATATAAAATGAAATATAAAATAAAATAAAATTTAAAAAAACTAAAATAAATCCAGCAACTCAGAACCCTTGGGAAGTGTAGGCTGAGGTGCCCCAGTCAGAGGCAGAAGCAGCTACATTGAATGGTATGTTTTTTCCCCGCCAAGATGGAGTCTTGCTCTATCGCCCAGGCTGGAGTGCAGTGGTGTGTTGTCAGCTTACTGCAACCTCTACCTCCTGGGTTCAAGCAATTCTCATGCCTCAGCTTCCTGAGTAGCTGGAATTACAGGCACGGGCCACCACACCTGGCTATTTTTTTAATTTTAGTAGAGATGGGGTTTCGCCATGTTGGCCAGGCTGGTCTTGAACTCCTGACCTTTGATCTGCCCACCTTGGTCTCTCAAAGTGCTGGAATTATAGGCATGAACCACCACACCCAGCCTGAGTGTTATTTCTAAAAGGGAAGAGGGACCTTGGCAAACGGTCTTACATATGGAGTCAAGTGAGGATGCACACTGTGACCTCACAGACGACCTTGCCGCACAGCACAGGGCTGCAGAGACCTGGCTTGACAGGCCTCCTCCGCCGGGCGCACAGCGCCCCCTTTGCCTTCTAGGACTTCTTTGTGACAGTCACACTGGGACATAGAGGGACCCCTCCTGGCGCATATTTCTCTTCTATTTGGATCTCGTGACTTGGACACTAAAGAAAATAGTAAGCAACATACATTCACCTTAAACCAACTAGAAAATACAGGCAGGCAGAAAGAAGAATTCGTTGGGAGTCCTGCCACCTGGTGGAGATTTGCGCATAACCGCCTGGTGCCTGCGCTGCCTGCCGCAGCCTGCCTACGAGCTCTGTCTAACCCTCTGGGCCCGCGGGGCCTGTGACTCTAAGCGAGATGTAAGAGTGAGGACGTTTCCTCCCGAGCCTGTGAGGTGCCGACTCCCTTCACGTGGTGGTCCCCTTTTAGTTGCTGCCGTGATGACTCAGGTATCTTGGACTCAACTGTGGCCACAACGGCAGATTCCCTAGACAGACGTCCCTGTTGCCGCTTCGGTGTGGGATGGCAGCACGCGTGTCACGGTTGCCGCTTCGGTGTGGGATGGCAGCAGGCGGGTCACGGTTGCCGCTTCAGTGGGGGATCGCAGGTCATGGTTGCCGCTTCGGTGTGGGCTGGCAGCAGGGGCATGGCGGAGCTGGAGCGTTAGCCACGTCTTTTGCTGTTTCAGACTCGGGCCTGTAGTTAGGATCTGAATATCTGAGGTCACAGGTCCTCCCCTTTCAAGCAATGGCCAGCAGGAAAGGTCTGCCCCTGCTCTGGGCAGACCATCTGCCTGGCCTTACAGCCCAGGTCTGCCGGCAAACGGCCTTCCTCTCCATGTCTCAGTTTCCCCTTATGAATGAAGCTGATGGTGGGGCCCACCTCCTAAGGTAGCTGTCAGGATTCAGTGGGACCCCATATAGGGTGGATTGTGGTTCTCGGGGCATAGCAAGTGTCACAGGATACAGCAGTGCCTCTGCCTTATCAGGGAAGGCTCTATGTGGGCATGTCTACCTGGGTGTCGAGGGATGGGTAGGAGTTTTCTGGTGTGTTGTAACAACACGGCCTGTTTGGACTCTGGAGCCCATGAGTGCTGCCTCGGGGGAAGGTTACTGCCTCTCAGCCCAGATGATCTCAGTTGCAAAAAACGAAAGTCTATGATTTGCTAGTAACCAGTGTGTGGAGGTTGGGCTGGTTTTAGGCAAGGCAGACCCATTGACAAGGCATTGTTGCCAGGGATCCGGCCTCTCTGGCATTAGCCTCATCCTAGGACTAGCTCCCCTCGTGACCTCAAGACAGTAGCCACCAGTTCTAGTGGTGAGGAAGGTCTTTGCCCCCATTAGAAGAGTGTCCTTGTTCAAGGGACTTTCCTACCCAAAGCTAAGAGTTGCTGTGACTACCTGAGGCAGGCCCCACGGCCCTCCCCTAGTAGGGGGTGCTGGAGAGGGCTTCAGGCTCAGCCTAGATCACCTGCCCTGCCCTTGACAGCTGGACACCAGGGCTGCTGGGGAAGGCCCTGGAAAAACCTTCGGGGCGGTTTCCATCCGGCACCCTGAGTGCTGGCGCCACCTGCTGCCGGGTTCCGGTAGTGCGCTGTTTCTTCAGGTCATGCTCCCTAGGTATGTGGCTGTAAGATACCTTTTTTCTTCTTGTCAAACTTAGGACAGCAGAAACAAATCGATCCAGAAACATTCAAAGATTTCTACAACTGCTGGAAGGAGACGGAAGCAGAAGCACAGGAGGTCAGTCTGCCATGGCTGGTGATGGAACACCTGGATAAAAACGAGTGTGTGTATAAGTTGTCCAGCTCTGTCAAGACGAACCTAGGCGTTGGCAAGATCGCCATGACCCAGAAGCGCCTGTTCCTCCTAACAGAAGGCAGGCCCGGCTACGTGGAGATTTCCACCTTCAGAAATATAGAGGTAAGCTCAGCACAGTGTGTGGCACTGGACCCCACCATGTTTAGGAGGCAGATGGCCAGAGCGGGCCCTAAGCTCTCTGCCAGCCATGCCAAGTACCAGCTGCAGCCCTTTTGCAAGCCACCTGCCTGCCTGTCCCCCAGTTTGCTCATCTGTAAAGCAGGAATAAGGCTGCCACCTTCTTGGTGGGTGGTGTGGATGGAACGATGACATATGGAACGTTCTTGGAAGGGTAACTGATTTTCTAACTGACCTTCATCTGGGAGGTGTGCAGTGAGAAGCAGTTCAGGCTCACATTCTAATTAGGGACAGTAGATACGTGAGTTCAGCCATGAGATATTCACTGAGAAACTGCCATGTGCCAGCCACGGTGAGCTATAGTAGTTCACATTTTCTAGTTACGTTCGTACGTGGTTCAAATAAAACATAACACATTTATTTTATAACAATTAAAAAATCTTTGAACAGTTTTTGTTTTTGTTTTTTGAGACACAGTCTCACTCTGTTGCCTAGGCTGGAGTGCAGTGGAGCGATCTTGGCTCACTGCAACCTCTGCCTCCAGGGTTCAAGCACTTCTCTCAGCCTCCCTAGTGGCTGGGATTACAAGCGCCTGCCACCACGCTGGACTAATTTTTGTATTTTTAGTAGAGATGGGCTTTCACCATCTTGGTCAGGCTGGTCTTGAACTCCTGACCTCGTGATCCGCCTGCCTCAGCCTCCTCCCTAAGTGCTGGGATTACAGGTGTGAGCCACAATGCCCAGCCTCTTCAAACAGTGTTAACATTATACTTTAAAAGTAGTCGTTTTCCCTGTCGAGGAAATCTGAATTTCATCCTGATTCATCTTATGCCATATAGTTGTTTTCCCAAATTTAAGGGGACTGTAAGAGGCGTGTCAGATACACAAATTTTGTTTTGTTTTGTTTTGAGACCGAGTTTCGCTCTTGTTGCCAAGGCTGGGGTGCAATGGCTTGATCTCAGCTCACTACAACCTCTGCCTCCTGGGTTCAAGCGAGTCTCCTACCTCAGCCTCCCGAGTAGGTGGGACTACAGACATGTGCCACAACACCCAGCTAATTTTGTATTTTTAGTAGAGACAGGGCTTCTCCATGTTGGTTAGGCTGGTCTTGAACTCCTGACCTCAGGTGATCCCCCATCGGCCTCCCAAAGTGTTGGGATTACAGGCGTGAGCCACCATGCCTGGCCAGGTATGTGAATGTTTTGTGTGATCAGCTGCTGAGTAGTCGTAGAAGCTGGAAAGGCAGTCAAGCCACAGCCGCAGCCGTAGTAAATGCTCAGCCAGTAGATCCACTTCTGGCTGTTTTCTTTCAGTTTATTTTTTTTCCACACCTGCTTTGCCAGACATCCTTCTAGAATTCCAAAGAAAGGTAATTAAGTACCAGGAAAGGGAGATGGAAGTTAAAAAAGAAAGTAAGAAATATTTCAGGATGTGAAAGAATGCACCGCCTTCAGACACAGTGGATGAGCCCAGCTGTGTAGATGGGCGTACCTGTTCCCATGGGAATGCCGTCCCTTGCCCGGGGCCCTGCCCTCCACATGCTGGCAGAGTGCGTGCCTGCAGCCCATCTGTCGTCATTTCAGAGCCCGCTCTGCTGCTTTCTGGTTAATCCACGTGTTCTCTGAGTGTGACATTCTAACTCTTTTTCTTTTCTGCCTCTACAGGAGGTCAGGAGCACCACCACTGCGTTTCTGCTTCGGAGAATACCCACCCTAAAAATCAAAGGGGCATCCAAGAAAGAAGTCTTTGAGGCCAACCTGAAAACTGAGTGTGACCTCTGGCACCTGATGGTGAAGGAGATGTGGGCTGGGAAGAAGCTGGCCGATGACCACAAGGTGGGAAACACGGGTCCTCTCTGCCCTTTGCTGTGGCTGCCTCAGAGGCCTCTTGCCACTGCGGGTCCTGTGGGTGCTCAGCTGTGAGAGCTTGGGCTCTGGTCCAGGTGCCCTAAGCAGAGGAAGTTTGTCGGACACCATCTTGGCAGAAGCACTAAAGGTGTTGTGGTCTGTGTGGCCCAGCAAGAGGCCTCCTGGCACCAGGGAAGGGTGTGAGGAGAAAACGCAGGGCGGGCTGGGCAGGTGTGGGTGCTCCACTGCCCACTCCAGGCTGGCGACGTCCCCAAGAGTGGGGCAGGGGGCTGGACGGTGCTGGCACCGTCCACACCCGCAGGCCGGAGTTGGGTGTTTTGGGCTCCCTTGCTCTGAGCAACTCTTCAGGGTCACAGGATTTGGAATTTGGCAGGTGTAGTACTGCATTCCTCCCACAGGGTTAAGATGATTTCTAGGGATCGTTGTACTTTCATTTACTTTGGGCCAAATTGAGGTCTTTGATTTCAAATGACAATTGCATAGTAATGAAGGGAACCGTGGGCGGTGGTGGGTGGGACATCTGTGCTGCTTGGTGGCGGGGCGAGATGGAAGATGCCTTAGAAAATGGCAAAGACTCTGGATGAGGTACTCATACCAAGGGCACAGTTTGTCCAGTTAGGAAGAGGGGCACAGCCCCGCTCATCCTCAGAACTGCTAGGGACGATGGCACCCCACAGTGGTGGTGCTAGGAGGAGCAGACCGGGCTGCTGTTACCACAGAAAGTTTCCGGTCACAGGGCGGAGGGCGACTGGGTCCTTTCTGAGATTCCAGTGCCATGTGGCTTCTGGCCCAGCCATCTAATGCTACACCCACTGGCTTATGTAGCATAAACCAGCATAGTCAAACCAAAGCCCTGGGCCTCTGGACTGTCTTTGTAAGTAGAGTTTTATGGAAACAGTCCTGCCTGTGTGTTTATGAAATGTCCCTGGGTGTTCCCATGCTGCAGGGGCAGGCAGCTGAGATTGGCCAGAAAGCCTGAAATGCCTCCTCCTAGCCCCTTCTAGAAAACACTGGCTGACTGACCCCTGGTATAAACAATCAATGTTTGTCTTAACTAAGAGAAAAAATATGTGACATAAAATTCAAATTCATCAGCGATTTAAACTCTTCGTGTTGCTTTGAAAAAATGCATTTCGGAAGGATTGTTCTGTGCGATGGGACAAACTCTCCAGTGAATGGATCTTAGTGATTCTTGCTGTTTGGAAACACAGTGTTTCTGTCCTAGGACCCGCAGTACGTCCAGCAGGCACTGACCAACGTCTTGCTGATGGATGCCGTCGTGGGCACGCTGCAGTCACCGGGCGCCATCTACGCTGCCTCCAAGTTATCTTACTTTGATAAGATGAGGCATGAATGTAAGATAAGCGTCCTGATGACGCCTTCAGATGTTATCTGGTCACTGTCTGTCTTGTTGTAGAACTGAGCCCAGATCTCTGCTTTGTCTTTTATTCTCGTAATTCACTTTTGAATCGCAGCTTGCTTCCTTCACCGCATGGCGCGCCTCGGAGCCCCTTGCTCCTCCGTCCAGCCGAGGCACCTGGTGGCTTTCGCTCCAGGCTTTCGTCTGGCTAGTGCTCCAGGGCGCACTGCAAGCATTTGTGGTGGTTTTTACTTACAAACAACAGCCTTTCCTCTGGCTGGCTGAAGCAGAGCAGAGACCAGTGGGAGGCTGCGGAGCGGCTCTTGGATTCTCTGATGGGGGAGAGTGGTGTTTGGGGCCTGCAGTTAGGAACACACACGCTGAGAAGCCAAGAACCTCTGCACAGCTGCAGACAGATGGGGTTCACCGCCGCGTGGGTGAGGAGAGGCCCCGAACGTCAGGACCCACCTTTTTCTCGATTGGGTCAGCTTCCTTGCAGGAATCCGTGGCCTGTCCTGTAGATTTGCCTCTGGCACTCGCATATGGGAAGCCATAGAGGCTGGTGCTGGACCCGTGTTTTTTCTTGTGAGAGGTGCTTTTCAAGCCTAGGGTTTTCTGGTCCTTGTGTGGCCGAGCGATAGACATTGTTTGGGTGAAGGGCATTTGGTCTGTCCCTTCCTCAGTGAGTGGGCATGGGCATGGCTTCTGCTTTGTGGCTGTGGTGACCAGTGCTGCTGTGGGCATCTGTGTTCATTTCCCCTGGGCATGGATCTGGCCAACTCTGGCTTTTTCAAAGGTTGTCCTGGAATTAGGAACAAACCCCACTTACATGTTTATTTGCTTGGGCACAGTTTGCTTTCTTTGTGGCATCTGTCACCAACTGCAGGGCCTCTGCCACTGTCTGGGCACAGAATCCCTCTCCCAGGTGACCCAGGGGGCCCTTGAGCTGTGGCAGCAGCTGGCAGGCTCAGGCGCCTGTGTCCCCGCGAGGCTGGCTGAGTGGCTTGAAGGAGCTTTTGTCTGACAGACCCGGAAACAGACCTTGATTGCTCTTTTTTTTTTCCTTGGGAGCAAAAATCAAACAAATCCCCTACTTCAGCTGTTGATCTCGTTCCAAACTCCTGGCTAATCTGTGTCGAGTGTTTTATAGGAAAGCCTTCTAACGCCTCTGTCTGCAGCGCGTGACAGCAGAGGAGGAGCCCCTATGCTGATGTCACTAGGTGATGTGCGCCAGCTCCTGCTCCCTTGTTACAAACCCGGAAACATTTTCATGTGCGTAAAGTGTGTGGCACATGCGCCTGAGCTTAACTTAATAGCTTATGGTCAACTCATGATGGAAGGTCTCAGACTGTACGGAATGAAATAATAACCAAAGATGCCATAATCTGAGGCAGCAGCTGAAGAGGCATTGGGTGTGGCCAGCTGGCTTTCCCACAGCCCAGTGTAGCCCGCCAGCCCCTCGCCCGGCGAGTCCTGGTTGACCTCTTGCTGACGGTGTGATCTTCAGTAGGTCACCATGTCAACGTGTGTCAGTTTCTTCATTTTTCTTTTCTCAAAATGGGGAAAATGGACCAGTCTCATTGGGTTGTCATGAGAGTAATAAAATGATGGAAAAGAAGCACTTAAGGGGCAGGCCCTGGACGACAGGGACTGAAGGAGTCCTGGATTCGGGAGACCGAGGCGCCCCAGGGGCCCGGGTAGGAAGGAGGGACTGTGTCAGAGCAGGCTGGCCCCAGGGGCCCGGGCAGTAGGCTGCTCTAGGGTTCGCCTGGAAACGTGGGTTGGATTGGATTGGATAGCAAGAGAGGAGTGTTAGGACATCCTGGGGAGGAGTGGTTTTGCACCCACTCCCTGCGGAGAGGCATCTGGCAGCGCCTGGGGAGATCTGTGGTGGTGCGTGAGGAGCTACTGGCATCTTGTGATGCTCCATGTCCCACTGCGCACAGGATGCCGGGCATTCACCCACAGCCAGGCTCATCTGGCCCAACACGACCCGGTTTTAGGTTGGGAAGCTGCGCGCATGGGTTAGTGTCTGGGTTTCATCTTGGGAAGGCTTCGTTATTGAGGGAAATTTGATGTCTCTGTTTTGCTGGGTGTTGTGTAATGTTTGGGTATGGCCAGAGAGCAGATCAGAGGCTCAGGAGCAGAAAAGAAGGCTGTGTTTAAAGAAAGGCAGTGCGAGGCACAGGGGCATGGAGACGTGGTGTGGACATGGGTGGGGGATGCTCCTGGCCAATCGCTTGCACGGCAGCCAGGAAAGGAGGCTGAGGGTGCGTGGCTTTCCCTTAGTGCCCAGGGCCCAAGAGAGCTTCATCTTCACAAATGATGCAGTTTTGCTGGCAGGCTGGTATTCTGCAGAGCTCAGAGCGCATGGGCTGTGGGATTGCGTCTGTTTCCTGGAGGCTGCAGCAGTGACGCAGCACACGTCTTGTCTTTCAGTGCCCATGGCGCTACCGAAGACAAGCTTGGAAACTCTGAAGCACAAAATCAACCCCTCGGCGGGTGAGACGCTCCCACAAGCGGTGGATGTGCTGCTGTACACGCCCGGTGAGGCCCCTCGCTGCTAGCTTTCAGACGACCTGATGAGCTCAGGTTTGGGTTCAGGGTCAGCCCTGAAGTGAAAGGGGAGCCAGTGTCATGGGATGAGTGCTGCTTTCTGAGGTAAAGTGCTGAGTGACAGGTGTGCAGCTGGCGTGACTGCTCCATGGACTCAGCCTCACGGTGCCCAGAGCCAGGAGCCATGGGGGATGGAAACGGGGCCAGCACTTCAGCTCCCCCCAGTGCCACCATCCCTCACCTTCTAGAGCAGTCGACGGTCACACTAGCACTTTCTTTTTTTGAGATGGAGTCTCGCTCTGTCGCCCAGGCTAGAGTGTAGTGGTGCAATCTCGGGTCACTGCAACCTCCAACTCCTAGATTCAAGCTACTCTCCAGCCTCAGCTTCCCGAGTGGCTGGGACCCGGGTCGCCTGCCGCCATGCCGGGCCGACACACTAGCACTTTCTAAAGCACTCCTGCCACGTGTTTCCCCAGAAGCCCTTAATCGCATCCTCTTGTCAATGTGATAAGGCGATGGTGCCCCTGATGTGTGCTGTCCTAGAAACTGACCGACACGGAGCCTGTACGGCCTGAGTGCCTACTGGTGCCTCTTCTCCACTGGGTGCGGCTGCACCTGCCTCCTGTGCCTTCTGGGACCCTGTGTGCTGCAGCAGGGTGGTGGCAGGAGAAGGAAGTGGGTGTGGCCCAGGGTCTCCATAGAAACAAGATGGCTGTCATGTTGTGTGTTTGAAGTGCGGGAAACACTATTTAATTCTGACTTACGGAGAATGCAGCAGGGGAGCTTATGCTGAGGGTTCATGGTGTGGAAAACAAAGGAGCACAGTTCTAGGCAGAAAAGATTTTTATTTGTTGTTGATTTTTTTGAGTCAGGGTCTTGCTCCATTGCCCAGGCTGGAGTGTAGTTGTGCAATCACAGCTCACTGCAGCCTCGACCTCCTGGGTTCAAGTGATCTTCTTGCCTCAGCCTCCTGGGTAGCTGGCACCACAGGCATGTGTCACCAGACCCAGGTGATTTTTAGAGATCTGTGTAGAGATGGGGTTTCACTATGTTGCCTAGGCTGGTCTCGAACTCCTGGGCTGAAGCGATAGCCCCTCACCTGGCCTCCTTGAGTGCTGGGATTACAGTTGTGAGCTGCTGCACCCAGCCCAGGAGGGCTTTGTAAATTGTCATTTTGTTGGTTGCATCTGTGTCTGCAGGAGTCACCTGGAGGCATCATGGATGCACCATCACCACATCTCACAGGCAGTGTCCACTTCACACAGCGCCTGGCCATTCCCACACGGAGCTCCCACTTCAGGTGGGCAGAGAGGCTGTGCGTGAAGCGATTTCCCTGTAAGAGAGTTTTCCTTTCTTTACGGCCTGCCAAGAAACCCAGGAATGAGACAGACCCTGTCTGAGTGGCCACGGGGCATCCTCAGGGCCGTCCGTGTGAGGCTTGCCAGCTAGGCTGGCTCTGTGCCAACTTTGCTGGAGATGAATCCACAGACCAGGACACTCTGGCCGTGGCATCTGAATCCATGGTACTTTTAGGTCCTGGCTGGTTTCCCTGAAATGAAACTGACTTTGGACTTCCCATTGTGATGGGTGAGGAGTTCAGGTGGCTGCCCCTCCAGGAGCATCTCTAAGCCCCACAGAGAAGAACATGGAAGCCGCCTTTTCCTGTGGCTGCCGATTCTGGAAGGGGTGGCTGAGAAGCCGGTAGCCAAGCAGGGCTTTTGCAAGCCTTGTGGGGGGACAAATGGTGGCGTCAGGCCCCCTCATGAAGGGGGAGTCCTGTTACTCCCTTTAGCTTGGGGCTGGGTCTCCACCAGGTTCAAAGGAGTTAGGAGAACCAACCGCAGGCCCTGAGGCCAGCCCAGGCTCTGCTCGGGGGAGTGTGCCTCTCAGAGAGGGCAATGTCTCACCCATGGGGGCAACAGACCACTGGAATCGCACCCCAGAAAGACCGGGAGGCCTGCTTTTCCCGACTCAGGACAGAGGCAGCACCACAGGGCCGGGGGACGCTCGAATATCCTCAGGGGCAAGGTGAAATCTCAGCCCTTCAGACCACACGGGGAGCAGGCCCCAGGGGGCTGAAAACTACACGTGGATGCTAACAGCAGGCAAACGTGAATAATGAAAGCAAGCACACTTCTAGCTGGAGAGAAGAACATTTTCATGACTTTATGGTAAGGGAAAAATTCATAAATTGCGTATAAAAATAGCAACCATAAAGGAAAAGAATGGTGAATCTGACCATATTAAAAGCGATGATTTTATTATTATCATTTTTTCTGAGACAGGGTCTGGCTCTGTCTCCCAGGTTGGAGTGTGGTGGCACAATCACGGATCACTGCAGCCTCTGCCTCCTGGGCTCTAGCGATCCTCCCACCTCCGCCTCCCAGTTAGCTGCACTGCAGGTGCACACCACCATGCCCAGCCAAGTTTCGTATATTGTTTTTGTAGAGATGGGGTTTTGCCATGTTGCTGAGGCTGGTCTTGAACTCCTGAGCTTGAGCAATCTGCCTGCCATGGTGTCCAGAGTGCTGGGTTACAGGTGTGAGCCACCACAACCGGCCAAAAGCAATGATTTTAAAAAGACGACACTTTTTTCCTCCTTTCCAATGAGCTGGTTTAATTTGTGGGGATACAGAATTGAGGGTAGAAGGCCCAAGAGCACCCTCTGGCCGGCTTCTGGGCTGGTTTCCCTCAGGTGGGAAGGACGGGGTGAGAAACCACTGAAAACGTAACGTGTCACTGTCAGACTTTTTTTTTTTTAAATAAAAGTTTATTCTTGAATGTGCAGCAGGCTGCAGGGTAACGCTCACTCTAGCTGAAGGTGGTGAAAGCTTCCTGGCAGGGGTGCAGGTGTTGAAACAGGAGTGGAGGCTGGGCTGCCGCCACTCAGGCACAGGGAGCTGCGTGCCTTGCGCCAGGGGTCTTAGTTCCACCTGTGGCCGGGCCTGTGCCTTCTGCCCCTGGAGGTTCTGGTTCTACTTGCTCTCTGCTGGAAGCTCATCATTTTGTCCCTCTCCTGGGCCTGCTGCTTGTGCTGTCGTGGAGGCTTCATGCCATCTTCACGTCTGGACACGACATTTATGGCCCCTTCCCCAGACCCTGCCATCCCAGTTTGTAACTTACACGTTCACTCTCTTCAAAAGCCACTTTGAAGAGAGTGAACGTGTAAGTTACAAACTAGGAAGGTGCTTGAAAGTGGGTGCTGCCAAAATCGTTGCTTTTAATGCAGTCAGATTCACCAGTCTTAGTATTTTTATATGAATTTATGAATACAGCACCATGGAGTCCGTTAGGGGCTCGTATCCAGAACACCAGAACAGCTGGCTGGGTGAGCCTGTGGTCCCAGTGAGGCAGAAGTGTGGCTGGAGCCCTGGAATCAGAGCCCGCAGTTTGCCGAGATCGTGTCTGAATGCTGCTGCACTACAGCCTGGGCAGCATGGCAAGACCCTATCTCTAAAAAAATATATAATAACAGTAGGACAGCTGCAAACTAGGGAGAGTGAGGCATAGACACTTCCCACAGGAGGGCATGGAGTGGCCAGCTAAAGGCAGCAGGTTCAAGAGCAATTAGAGAAATGCAATTAAACCACAGTCTGAAAGCGCCACACACTTAGAATGGCCAAAATTAAAAAGCTGGACACCACCAAGTGTTGGGGAAGATGTGGAGACGCTGCTCATGAGGTGGCCCCTGCTGCCGTCTCCAGCTGCTCTCCCTCCTTCCCTCCTTCCCTCCCTCCCTCCCTCTTTCCCTCCTTCCCTCCCCTGCTCTCTCCCTTCTTTCCTCCCTTCCTCCCTCCCTCCCTTTCTCCCTCTCCCTCCTTCCCTCCCCTGCTCTCTCCCTCCCTCCCTCCCTCCCTCCCTCCTTCTTTCCCTCCCTCCCTCCCTCCTTTTCTCCCTCTCTCCCTCCTTCCCTCCCTCCCTCTCTCTCTTCTGGGCCTACCTGCTCCCTCTTCCACTTCCCTCTGCCTGGCTGTTTTCTCTGGTGAATGCTCACTCAGCCGCAGGTCCTGGCTTAGCAAAGCTCCCGGGCATTCAGCTCTGCCCGTCGGCGTGGCCCTCTCACCAGCCAGCTGCTCCTTTGACTCTGAGCTCCCGGAGGGCAGAGCAGCCTCTGCAGGGGCCCATCTTTGTATGTTCAGCACCTAGCATGGACTTGCAGCTAAGGAGGGCCCGGGAGACACCCGAGCAGTGGCACCAGTCAGGTACCACTACAGCAAAGCACTTCTTCCTAACAGTTTTCGGCTGCCCTTCTCTTTAGGGCATCTTGACCCAGCTGAAAAAGTTGAAGATGCTCACCCCAAGTTATGGTGTGCTCTGAGCGAAGGCAAGGTGACTGTGTTCGACGCTTCTTCATGGACAGTCCACCAGCACTGCTTTAAAGTGGGCGCTGCTAAGGTGGTGAGTACACGAAGCGTCAGGAAAGCTGCCTGTGCATTCATGCCCGATTCTGAAACCTGAGTGTGATCTCCCGTATTTGACAGGAGGATGCGAGCTCCTTCACGGCATTACTCACTTTCTGTAAACAGGGTCTTAACTTTTACCTCGAGATTTTATATTAAGTGTAAGCTTGTTCCAACCTTCTACTTAATATTCTTATTGAGGGAGACAGAGGGCTTATTGACAGAGGGCTTTGACTCTGTCATCTAAAAATAGATTTCAGGCCACGCCCCCCCCAATACATTGCAGTGGCTCACACCTGTAATCCCAGCACTTTGGGAGGCTGAGGTGGGTGGATCATTTGAGCCCGGGAGTTTGAGACCGGCCTGGGCAATAGAGTGAGACCCCGTCTCTACAAAAAATACAAAAATTAGTCAGGTGTGGTGGAGCATGCCTTTAGTCCCAGTTCCTTGGGAAGCTCAGGTAGGAGGATTGCTTGAGTCCATGAGGTTGAGGCTGTAGTGAGCTGAGATTGCACCACTGCACTCTAGCCTGGGCAACAGAGCCAGACCCAGTCTCAAACAAACAAACAGTAATCGTAGTAATAAAAATCAAAAATGTCAGGTCTGTGAAGTGGAGCCACTGTGGTCTCTGCCTGCTTATCAGAGGCCTCACACCACCCTTTGGGAACAACTCCTTTTTCTCTTTTCTGAGACAGGCTCTTGCTCTGTTGCTCAGGCTGGAGTGCAGTGGTGTAGTCATGGCTCACTGCAGCCTTGACCTCCTGGGCTCAAGTGATCCTCTTACCTCAGCCTCCCTAGTAACTGTGACTATAGGTTCACACCACTATGCCTGGCTAATTTTGTGTTTTTTTTGTGGAGATGAGGTTTTGCCATGTTGCCCAGGCTGAGAACGCTGTCTCACATCCTGCACTGGAGCGCTAAGCTTCCTGTGCGTAGCAGGCCTTAAAATAGCCCTCCAGTGTCTCCTGTGCACCCTGGTGTTTCCTGGGGATGCAGTGGTGACTGGGTCTCACTTGGACCAAAAGAGGAGACAGCTCCCACTGCAGTGACTTGTTATCCAGTTGTCCCTGCGTGCCAGGTGGCAGAGGCCAGGGCCCAGCCAAACTCTGTGTCCACTCGTGGCACATGATTCCTTTCCGTTAGAGCAAGCTTTTCCAGTCTGTGGCCCGCAGCTGCACGTGGCCCATGTTGGCTTTGAACGAGGCCCAACACAAATGCGTCAACTTTCCTAAGACATGATGAGTTTTTCTCTGCAGTCTTTTCCTTTTAGCTCATCAGCTATGATTAACGTTCATGTATTTTATGTGTGGCCCAGGACAGTTCTTCGTCCAGGGTGGCTCAGGAAAGCCAAAAGACTGGACACCCTGATTCAAAGCCAATTTGAACTGCTTCTGATAATTGAAAACAAATGCTACTGTGAATGCATTTTTAGTGATGTGTCCGTGGCAGTGCCATGGTGTCCCCCTTCCGTGACCATGCTGTCTTGAGTGTAGGAGCTAGGAGTCCTGCCCTGCTCATCTCTCCAGGCCCCCAGGGGCCCCTCCTGCCTCCAGACCGCCATTTCTTGGGGATTTTCCCTGTTTGCTGCGGCTGTGTGTGCACTTCTCTACACCCCCGTGCTCTGCGGCCCTGCACGCCCCCACTGAGTGCTGCCCGTCCTCTGTCCATTTCTCCTGTTCTCACTCACGGATTCACAGATGACTTCCACGTTTCAGGTGCATTTAGTACTTTCCAGAGTGTCCTCACATAGCCCTCCTCCAGTCCGGCGGGTTTGTCCTCTGAGCTGCCCCGTGGGATCTGCCGGGAAATCCTCATGCCTTACTCCTTGAGCATGAGAGCATTTATTTTTTTTACATGATTAATGTGAAAAGAACACTCCAGTGCCCAAGTATATATTAGGCATTGTTGGGTATCAGTTTTTTTTTGAAAGGGTCTCACTCCTTTTCCAGCCCATGGCTGGAGTGTAGTGGTGCAATCACGGCTCACTGTAGCCCCTGACGTCCTGGCTTCAGTGATCCCCCCTCCCCACCTCAGCTTCCCGAGTAGCTGGGATTACAGGTGCGCCACCACACCCAGCTAATTTTTGTATTTTGAGTAGAGACGGGGTTTTACCATGCTGCCCAGGCTGGCCTCGAACTCCTGGGCTCAAGTGATCCACCCGCCTCAGCCTCTCAAAGTGCTGGGATTACAGGTGTGAGCCACCACGCCCGGCAATTTTGATGGCAGTGTTCCTGAGTCTAAAAATAATGTGGCAATCCATGGCACAGTATGTGCTTGCAAAACTGCTATAAAACAAATATTGTGAATTCAAATATATACTGCCGAGAGGGCTACATGTTAGCAAGGTGATAAGATTGCTAAATCATTTACCCCGTGTTCAAATAATGAGTCTCAGATGATAAAGGCACAGGATCCGTGATACAGTAAAAATATTTACCAAAGTCTAATAATGCTTTAAACCAAAAAAAAGGAAAAATTAGGGAAATTATTTTTCTAAATTTAATTTCAGTTCATTTTTAGTTATAAGCATTTCAACCCTGGGCACAGTGGCTCACGCCTGTTATCCCAGCATATTGAGGGGCTGAAGCAGGAGGATTGCTTGAGTCTGGGAGTTCAAGACCAGCCTGGGCAACATGGGGATACCCTATCTCTACTAAAAATTCAAAACATTAGCTAGACATGGTGGGACACGACTCTAGTCCCAGCTACTTGGGAGGCTGAGGCAGGAGAATTGCTTGAGCCTGGGAGGCTGAGGCTGCAGTGAGCCATGACCATGTCACTGCACTCCAGCTTGGGTGACAGGTTGAGATCCTGTCTCAAAAAAAAAGTCTAATTTCAAAAAGTCTCAATCGTTGTTCTGACTGCTTAGCCAGGAGCCCTGAGCACGTCTCTAGCCACTGGGAGCACTGCCAGTTTTGCCTGTTCCTGCACAGTCGGGTCTCATCCTTTGGAGATCCTGTACCTGCAAATTCATCTACTGGCTAATACTTATCTGTAACTCCTCAAACAAATCCTTATGGTGCTTTCTTGGTGATCCACGTACATGCACGTGCCCAGAGGGGGCAAAAACTGGAGTCGCCTGATGTGCATTTTCGGGGCCAACGAGTGTCCTCTCCTCGGCCTGATTGGTGCCGCGGTCTTCACATTTTTTGTGTCTTGTTGGTGGTTTTGCCATTTAAGATAGCCTCAAGCATCGAGCTCCCAAAGACAAGGAGGTGGTGACGCGTCTTGCAGAGAAAATGCACGTGTCAGATGAACTTTGTTCAGGCCGCAGTTACAGTGCTGGCGGCCGTGGGTTCCATGTTAGTGAATCAACCATACATAGCTAATCAGGTGTCTGTGAACAGAAGCATGCAGAGAACAGGGCTGTGTACTGATGGGTTGGTGAGAACGTCACAGGACCCTGAGCTGGCGTGTCTCCTAGGAGCAATGGTTCCATACCCGCTCCTTCAGCATTTGCAGTAAATGTATAGAACAGAACTTCACTGGTAACGAGAGCTGACTGTGTTCTCATGTTCCCGTGGCCTCTGTAGAACTGCATGGTGATGGCAGACCAGAACCAGGTGTGGGTGGGCTCGGCAGACTCCGTCATCTACATCATCAATGTCCACAGCATGTCCTGCAACAAGCAACTCACAGATCACCGCTCCAGCGTCACGGACTTGATCGTGCAGGACGGACAGAAGGCGCCCAGGTGCAGGCAGGCTCTGCTGGGAGAAGCGATTGTTTGGCTTCTGGGTGGGGCAGAGGGCACAGAGGGTAGGGGTCCCAAGGCTCATGCCCACAGGGGCCAGGCAGGGCATACAGAGTGAAGTGGACCTGGAATGAGAAAAGCTGGGTGGTGTCCTTGGTCCCCTTCTGCTCATGGCTGCAGAGAACCCACAAGACCAATACGAGCCAAGGGTGGTGATGGAGGTGCCACACCCAGCCTTCCTGCCGAGCTTACTGTGGGCATGGCAGCCTGGGGAGCCCTGAGAGGGCACAGTCTCCCAGAGGAGCACCAGCCATGGTGTCAGAAGCCTGCACTCCTGGGAGGTCACCTGAGTGCTCAGTGTTGGCCTGGCCTGCCAGGTCGCTGCTGTCTCATGATGGGAGTGGCACTGGACACAGTGGACATCCAGGGAGATGGGAGGGGGGTGGGGTCTCCTCAAGCAGAGGCTTGTTGAGGGGAGGCTGCCTCCCAGTTGGTCCAGGCAGCCCCAGCCCTGCATGTGGTGCTGCGCTCCCCACTCCTTTTCCCCTTAGTGTTGGGGGTGCCCTGTCTGGGTGGGAAAGGAGGTGCTAGCCTGGAGGCAAAACTGGCTTAGGAGGTGCCGGGGTGGTACAGGGCACAGGCTCACGCCCTGCCCCACCCACAGCTGCCTGCACCTGCAGCCGGCCATGTCACCAGTGAGCTTTGTAGAGCAGGCCCCCTGTGTGAACGGAGCATACCAATGAGGCTCCATTTCAGTTCATGGTCACGTCATGGCTCTGTGACCAACAGCTCATAGAGCCTGTGGCCCCTGGTGGTAGGACAGGTGGGCATCCCCAGAAACCCACCCTTTTCCCCCGAATCAGTTCATTTGAGCCAAGCCTGGCTGTGGCCACATTCGGAGTATGAGTGCATGTTATTATCATGTTCGCATGTTACCCATGTTGAGCACGTTTTCTCTAATGGTGACTTGGTTCTTTCCTGGGTTAAGACGTGTGCAGTGTTTTCAAGGGCCCAAGTTAAAGGTGTGCGTGTTTTGTGCCCCCAGCGAGGTGTACTCATGCAGCGTGGATGGCACAGTGCTGGCGTGGAACGTGCGCACGCTGCGGGTGACCAGTCGCTTCCAGCTGCCAAGCGGTGGCCTCACATCCATCAGACTGCACGGTGGCCGCCTGTGGTGCTGTAAGTCCGGCCCCCATCAGAGTGGCACCCTAGTTCCTTGCTCTGGGGAAAGGATGCCAAGCAGAAAGCGGCTTTCCTCTGCTTCACGCCTCTCCAGGCTGGATTTTAAACACTGCCTCCTTTTCTGCACTTGCAGCAGGCTCTACTCCATTTGCGTTGCTGCTCTTGGGGTTCCCAGGCCTCCCTCTGCTTTTCTACCCAGTGGCCAATGGGACGCCTGCTTGCCTGGATGCACCACTGCTCTGCTGGCCCTCACCTTGGCTTTCGCTGTGCCTTTTGCTGTGCCCTGCTCTGGGGTTGAAGCCGGCCCAGGTATCCCCTGGAGTCATGGCTGCTTCTCCCGGGAGGACTCTGTGCACGTCACGTCTCCACACCTGGGGCCAGCCGGCGAGCCCGTGCCATGTTCCCCTCGGCCACTTGGCACAGAGCTGTGGCCTGGGACTCTCCATGGACCCAGGCTGAGCATTTTGCCAGGGGTGATGGGAGGAGCGGGAGCAGGTGCTTTGCCTGGAGGCTCGTGTCTGCATTTCTGGACCCTCCGGAGCACAGAAGTTGCCTGTACTTCGAGGTCTTCCTCGGAATGTGCTGGATTACATGAGTGACAACTGGGAATACGTTTTCTTTTTCGTAATGGAAGCATGGTTCACACGTAGCAAAACCCACCAGAAAGGGCTCAGTTTGTTGCATTTTGTCAAACATGTAAACTACATAACCTTGAAACAAATCAAGATGCGTAGTGTTTCCATCACAGCTGAAGTGTCTGTGCCTTTTCAGGGGGTACAGGTCACTCTGGATTTGGGATTTACAGAACTTTCTGTAAATGGACTCTACAGTATGCATCCTTCTGCACCTGGCTTTATTCAGTCGGCAGAATGTGTTGAGGGTTCAGCGCTGGCGTTCAGCATCAGTATCAATAGCTCGCTCCTTCTTGCGTCTTGTGCATACGGAGCCACTTGGTCATCCTTCCCCTGCCCCAGGGGGACACTGGGTACCTCTGCTTAACTGTCTGAAGAACTGTTAGAGTGTTTTCTGAAGTGGCGGGAGCAGCTTCCACCCCACCTGCGGTCTCAGGGTTCGTTTCTTCACATCCTCACCCAAACCGGTTCTCACCTGTTTTTATTGAAGCCATCCCAGTGGGTGTGAAGTGGTGTCTTGAGGTTTGGCTTTGTGGCTCCCTCACGGCTGATGGTGCTGAGTGCCCTGCCCTGTGCCCGGTGCCCCTCGACGCCGCCCCTGGAGCAGTGACTGTGCAGGCCCCTGCCCACTGCTCCGCCCACTTTCAGGGCAGCAGCGACGTGTCTGGGTGCGAGCCAACGACGGTGCCTCTTCCCCTCCTCTGATTTCTTTTGTTCTTCCTTTCCTTTGGATTGAATATTTTTATGTTAAATTAACCTTCTTTCTTGTTTTTAAGCATTGTATTTGTTGTGTTTTGTGGTGGTCGCTCTAAGAATTGCAACTGCAACCTTAACCGATCACCTTCCTCAACGCCGATACTGCCTCATGGAGAGGGCACGAAGCTCACAGTATTTCACTTAAGCAGTCAGTGATCTTTTATGAAAAATTAGGAAACTGCCCATATATTTACCTTTACGGTGAGCTTCATTTCTTCCTGGAGACCCAGGTTTCTATCTTACATTTTTTTCCCAGTAGCCGGAAGAATTTCCTTCAGCATTTCATAGAATTTGAGTCTGCTGGAAACAAATTCAAGGCTGATGGATAGTTCTTATTTTTTCTAGCTCCTTAGAAATATCATCCCACTTTCCTCTTTCTTTGTTCCTGATGAGAAATCTGCCATCATTCATGATTGTTTGGCTGCATATGTCAGTTTTCTGGAGCTACTGTAAAGGCTCATCTCTGGCTTCCGTTAGTTGCACTGTGTGCCTAGGTATGAAGATCTCTGTGCTGGTCCTGCTTGGGGTCTGTGGTCACACATTTCGGAAACATTTTAACCATTATCTTTTCCAACACACCTTTGGCCCTCCTTGCCCTCTTTATATATATATATAATATATAATCCCCACTTGGTACGGTCCCAGAGTCTTGGGCACTGTTACAATTTTTTTCATTCTCTTTTCTTTCTGTACTTTGTTTGGATAAGCCCTGAACCTTTCTTCCTGCTGTTAAATCCTTCCGGTGAATTTTCATTTTAGTTCTGTAGCTTCCATCTCTCTTCGGAATTCATTTCTTCATGCATTCTGTTGATATCTTCCTGGAAGTTTTAAAATATATACCTGGGTGTGGTGGCTTACACCTGTAGTCCCAGCACTTTGGGAGGCTGAGGCAGGCAGATTACCTGAGGTTAGGAGTTCAAGACCAACCTAGCTAATGTGGTGAAACCCCGTCTCTACCAAAAATACAAAAACTAGCCAGGTGTGGTGGCGCATGCCTGTAATCCCAGCTACTCAGGAGGCTGAGGTACAAGAATCGCTTGAGTCTGGGAAGTGGAGGTTGCAGTGAGCCGATATCATGCCACTGTACTCCAGCCTGGACCAGAGTGAGACTGTCTCAACAAAAAAAAGTTTTACCACAGAGTTGTAATTATTGGTGTAAAGTTGTTGTCTCCTAGATACTGGATCATCTGTGGTTCTATTTTCTGTTTTCTCTTGGTGTTGAGTCACATTTTGATGTTTCACATGTGTAGTAACTTTTTCATTGATGCATGATAGATGTCCACACTTTGGGGGTACATGTGACAATTTAACACATTCATGTGATTTGTGCAGGTCAGATCAGTGTACTTAAGATACTCATTACCTTAAATGTTTGCCATTTCTTTATGCTAAAAACATTTAAATTATTCTCTGCTATTTTGATATGTGCAGTAAATTATTATAAACTATAGTCATCCTAAGGATCTGTTGACAACTAGGTATTGTTCTACCAAATTGTATATGTGGGCTGGGTACAGTGGCACATGCTTGTAAGCACTTTGGGAGGCCAAGGCAGAAGGATTGCTTGAGGCTGGGACTTAAGAGACCAGCCTGGACAACATAGCAAGACCCCGTCTCTATAAACAAACGTTTTTTAAAAAGAAAAAGAAAACTTGGAGCTGGGCTCAGTGGCTTGCTCCTGTAATCCCAGCTACTCAGGAGGCTGAGATGGGAAAATTGCTTAAGGCCAGGAGTTCGAGGCTGCAGAGACCTATAAGGGTCTCACTCCAGCCTGGGAAACAGAGCAAGAGCCTCTCTCTAAAAAACTATAAAAACCCCAAAACATACATTGGTACCCATTAACCAACTTCTCTTCACCCTCCCACCCACCCTTCCTGGCCTTCAGTATCACCAGTCTCCTGTCTTCACGAGATCGACTCACTCACATGTGGGAGCCCAGCAGCGGTTTTGGTATCTGGTCATGCTGGCTTCCTCGAGTGAGTCTAGAAGTGTTTCCTTGGAGACTTTCATTAGGATTGGTATTCGTTCGTTCTTAAACGCTTGTAGAAGTCAGAAGTGAAGAGGCTTTGCTTTGACGGGAGAAGTTTTGTTGTGACTTTGATTTCGTTACTGATGACTGGTTTGTTGAAGTTTCCTATTTCTTGGTGGTTCAGTCTTGAGTTGGGTTGTGTGTGTCCAGGAATTTATTCTGTTCTTCTAGCTTTTCCCATTTTTCGGCATGTAGCTGTTGAGAATGGTCTGTGGTGATTCTTTGTATTTCTGTGGTCTCATTTGCTGTGTCTTCATTTCTGATTTATTTGGGTCTTCTCTCTCTTGTTCTTAGTCTAGCTAAAGGTGTGTAGATGTCTATTTTTTTTTTTTGAGACGGAGTTTCGCTCTTGTTACCCAGGCTGGAGTGTAATGGCGCGATCTCGGCTCACTGCAACCTCTGCCTCCTGGGTTCAGGCAATTCTCCTGCCTCAGCCTCCTGAGTAGCTGGGATTACAGGCACTCGCCACCATGCCCAGCTAATTTTTTGTATTTTTAGTAGAGATGGGGTTTCACCATGTTGACCAGGATGGTCTCGATCTCTTGACCTCGTGATCCACCTGCCTTGGCCTCCCAAAGTGCTGGGATTACAGGCTTGAGCCACCGCGCCCGGCCCTAGATGTCTATCTTTTAAAAACTACTTTTCATTTTGTTGGTCTTCCATATTTTCTTCCATGTGCAGTTTTTCTATTTCTGCTCTGATCTGTATCATTTCTTCTAATTTGGGATTGGGTCTGTTCTTGCTTTTCTAGTTCCTTGAGGTGTGTCATTCAGTTGTTTCTTCGAAGTCTGTCCTTTTTGGATGTAGGTGTTTATTGCTTCCCCCTTAGCGCTGCTTTCGCTGTCTCCCATGGATTAGGGGTTGTTGTATCTCCATTTTCATTTGTTTCAAGACAATTTTTAAATTTCTTCCTCTTTTCTTCATGGACCCAGTGTTGTTCGGGAGCGGGCTGCTTAATGTCCTTGTGCTCGGTTTCGCTTACTGATTTCTAGCTTTGTTCTGAAGATGCTTGGTAAGATTTCTACTTTTTTGAAATCGCTCAGACTTCTTTTGTGGCCTACGATATGGTCTCTTCCAGAGCATCTTCCACGTGCTGATGAAAGATCGCGTCTCGGCCGCAGTTGGGTGAAATGTTCTGTGAACAGCAGGCCTCTCTGGTCCAGCGTGTGCTTGAACTCCAGGGTTTGTTACTTCCTGGCTAGGGGATTGCTGAGTGGGGTGCTGAAGTCCCCTGCTGTGACTGTACTGCAGTCGGTCTCTCCTTGAGATTGGTCAGTATTTATGTACCAGGGAGCTCTGGTGTTGGGTGCGTGAATATTTTAATTGTTCTGTCCTCTTGCTGAATTCACCCTTTTATCATTATATTGGGACCTTATTTGTCTCTTAGAATCTCTGATTTGTAGTCTGTTCTGATACAAGTATAGCTTTAAAGAGCATTTGGTGTGTTCTGGCAGGTCATTAAATGACCGGCAGGTCACTTTGATCCCATGCAGAGGCTTGGTTTTAGCTTTTCTAGGGTGAGTCTATTTCAGTTTTGACCCCAGTCCTGGAGCGTACCCCTCAGTTCTGGTGTGTGGTCTTCATTCTTAATGCATGGCCTTTGAGATTTCCAGGGACACCCAAGCCGTAACCAACCCTTTCTACTTTGGATAAGCTAGAGCAAGCTTGTCCAGCCCATGGCCTGGGGGCTGCATGCGGCCCAGGATGGCTTTGCATGTGGCCCAACAAAAATTTGAGAACTTTTTAAAAAAGTTATGAGATTAGTTTTTGCAAATCAGCTGTTGTTGGTGTTAGTGTACTTTATGTATGGCCCAGGGAAGCTGAAGGGTTGGACACCCCTGAGCTGGAACTGTTATTAACCTCTCCTTTCTCTAGCCCCAGGAAGCAATGAAATGCCTTCTTGGTTCCAGAATGTTCCAGCTACCACTTTCTGCTATTTATTTGCAGTTTAGGCAGCAGCCAGGGATTCGAGGACATTTATGTGTATTTTGGGGTTCCCTCATCTTGAGGCTTTTTCCTCCATTTCCAGCCATGCCGGCAGCCCCAAACCTACCTCAGCCAGTCCGGGCTGCTGTGCTCTGCCAGAACTTGGACTCTTTGGAGCCCTGGGGAAAGCTGGGTGACTGCAGTGCTGCACACTCGCTCCCCTTCTTTCAGGGAACGGGTCCTCAGCTCTTCTTGGTCTCCAGGGACCGTCACGCGTGCGTGTGTGTGTGTGAGTGAGAAGTTGTCCTCTGCAGTTGCATTTTGGATTAATCTAGCCGACCAGTCCATGGGCTGAAAGGTACCTGCTGAAGATAGCCAGGGAGACCAAAGAGGTGAGGATGGACAAGAGTTTTTGTCTGAGGGGGCGTCTCACTATGTTGCCCAGGCCGGTCTTGAACTCCTGGGCTGTAGCAGTCTTCCTGCCTCAGCCTCCCACTGTGCTGGGTTTACAGGCGTGAGCTACCATGCGGGCCGGCAGCCTCGTTTTAAGTGTTGTATCTTTACACACGAGCCTCTTCACTTTCCCATTTGACTTGTCTGAATGCAACAAGTGGTTTTCCTGAACCACACTGAGGAAGGTACAAGAGGAACCTGGGCTTTCCTCAGGTAAACTTGGAGGCCATTTGCTTATGAGGTTATTTCCAGTCTTTCTCTAATGAGGATAATGAGCAAAAATTGTGGCCACTCATCAGAGGTTCGCACTTGCAAGATTTGGGTCAGGCCTTGTCTTGTTTCCATCTGGGTATCTGTGGGTGCAGTGGCGCAGCCTGCAAGATAGATAGCATGGAGCGGGGTGGCGGTGCCCTAATCCTCCCAGCGCCCTGAGCAAGGTGGGGCTGGGGGTGCCCCGGGGTGGTCCTTCCATGTCAGCCCCGAGGCTGGGATGAGCGGCCCCCTCTGGTGAGGGGTACCACCAAGGTGGAGTGTTGCTCAGAAGGATGGCGGCTTGGGCCATTTTCTAGAAGGAGCTGGACCTCTGCCCCCCGTCACCCATGCTGGGAGGTTAACATCTGCCAGGCTGCTGGGTGCACTGCGGGGTGGGCTGTGGCCTTCTGGGCATCTGGGCTTGGATCCAGGCATGGGCATTGGATGCTTGCTGACTGGGCAGCCCCTTCACCTTCCTGGAGTCTTCAGTGTTGAAAGAGTGAGATGTGAACCCCATGCTTTCCACTGCAAAGGGCACTGAGGGTGGGGAGGCAGGAAGCGAGGGCACTGTCTCCCTCAAAGGCGCAGAGAGTGCCAGATGCCAGCAGCAGAGGCCCGGAACCTGGGCCCGGGGGGCGGGCATGGAGCCCCAGTGGCCTGGACCGGGCTTGCGTGGGAAAGGGGTCATGGGACAAGACCAAAGCTTCAGAAAGGGGCAAGGAGTAGAGAGGCAGAGTAAGGGTGCCCCATGGCCACTGTGCCCCCAGGATGGAGCCCAGCCCCTCAGTCCAGCTGAGGCTGGCAATGGGTACCCGAGACCCACTACCCCCCTTGCCAGCCCCTCACCCCTGTCCCCTGTTCTTCGCCCACTTCCCCAGTTATCCTTACCCTCTCCATTCCTGAGTCCCAGCTGAGAGAAAGCCCTCCCCAGGTCCCTGCCCTCCTCCCACTCCCACGAGGTGTGCTTGGCATACCTCGGGGACAGCAACCAGTCCTGCCCACATCTGTCCCCTCACACGGTGCCCTATGTATGGCAGGCACCCCTACACACAACAGTGTTGGCATCTGAATTCTGATAGTCTGGGCCCGTGCGTTTACGAAGAGTCTGGGGCGGTGTGAGAGCTAGTGGTCCAGCACCGAGGAGGAGCCCCTGTGGGCAAGAGGACTGGTGGGGCGCCCAGTGTGGCACAGGCCCCCTGCACACAGGCTTCAGTGGTCCCTGGCACCCACCGACCTGGCACTCGTAACAGGCAGCAGCAGCCGAAGAGGCTGTTCATGAGTCCGGGAGGACGGTCCTGAGTCTGGCTGAAGGGCTCCCTGTGGGATGCCAGCGCTTGATGTCAGGTCTCGGGAAAAGCACCATCAGCCCAGCTCAGAAGCAAGGAGGGAGGGACGCAAACGCAGCTTAGGTTGAGAGTCGCTGAGGCGGCCAAAGACTGAGGGGCCATTTCTCGGACGAGGCGGGTGCCAGAGGGGCTGCAGTCCTGTGTCCCCTGTGCCCTGTGAAGCCCCCTCCTGTGGCCCTGGGTACCTTCTGCCGCATTGCTTGGGAATCCATCCCTCCCTGTAGGTTGGGGTGGGCGCTGCTGGGCCGGGCCTATTCTCCTGCCCTCCCACTTCCGTGCTAACACTGGGGCTTCAGCGTGGGGCAGTGGAGAGGGAGGGATGCTTGCAGTCAGAGTGTGAGGAAGGAGGGCTGGGCACGCCTCTGTCTCCTGAACGCCGGCTTCGGTCTTCTCTGGAGACCTTGCCTCACATCCATCGGTGGTGCTGCCTCCGACCGCTCACAGATCTCACAGATGTGGAAACTTTCTTGCTTGACAAAAAAGACGTTCTGCTAGAGTGGTTCACAGATGAGAGGGGCACTTAGAACCACACAGGGCGTGTTCCCCAGAGGGTGGGTGTTGTCCCTGAATTCTAACAGTGGCTGTTGGAGCCACTTTGGTTTCAGGTGTAGAAAACCCTGAACCGCCTCTGAGAAGCTGCTGCATCTTCTCGCCACGGTGCTCAAAGCCGTGGGTGAGGGCACAGGATTCCTGTGGTTTCCTCAGCAGCAGCAAGAGAGCTCAGGTGTGGGCATCTTATGTTGCCAGTGATGCTGCCTGGCCCCATCTTAGCTCCTCCCTTCTACAGGTACAGGTAACAGCATCGTGGTCATGACAACGAACGGCTTCCTTCGTCAAGAACTGAAGATTGAGGAGAACTTCACAGACACCAACACCTCCTTCCTGGCCTTCCAGCTCCTTCCTGAGGTATCCCAGCAGGGGCTCTGGGCCCAGCATGCACGTGGCCCGAGGCCCATGGCCCACACTGTGCCCTGTGTTTCAGCAGGAGCAGCTGTGGGCGGCATGTACAGGACGAAGCGAGGTTTACATCTGGAGCCTGAAGGACCTGGCCCAGCCCCCTCAGAGGGTGCCCCTCGAGGACTGCTCTGAGATCATCTGCATGATCCGGGTGAAGAAGCAGGTAGGGTGGAGGGCCCACCACCCCCAGCATCCTGCCAGGTCTCGCTTGCCCCGGCCAGGTCCCCACGCTCCCCAGAGAGCCAGCCACACGCACCCTGTGCCCTCCTGCCCTTGCCTCTCAGGGCCCCTCCAACAGGCATGCGCAGGGTTGGCGCCAGTGGGCACACAGGTCACACGGGCTGCAGGTTTCATGGTGTGCCCCAAGCACTCACAAACCAGGTGTTCCTAGGATCCACAGCAGACTCCCCCAAACTGGGTGGCTTCAAGTGACAGCCTTATTTTCTCACACTACTTGAGGCTGGAGGCCAGAAATAAGGTGTCAGCAGTGCGGCCTCCCTCGGGGGCACCTGCACTCCAGGCCCTTCTCTCTGCCCCCTGCTCATGCGGCCACGGTCCCTGGCTGTGGACGTGGCACTCTAATCTGCGCCTAGGCCACACAGCACTCTCTCCCCCTGTGCCTGTGTCTCTTGTGGGGACGCTGGTCACACTGAATTTCCGAAGCAGCTCACATTCTGAAGTTCGGTGAGGACATGTATTTGGGGGACACTGTTCAACCCATTACGGTCTGCTCTCTCGCCCCCCAAATCCACAGCTGTCCCACATGCAAAATACACTCCCTCCATCACTACATCCCCCAAAGCCCTTGCTCATTCCAGCATCTGTTCTGAGCCCCAAATTTCCACGTGGAGCCAGTACCTTTCCATGTGGGTGAGCTGTGGGGTGGGGTCCACCTGGGGCAGAACCGGCTGCTCTTCCACTGGGAACCTGTGCAGCTAGAAGGTCTGTCTCTTCCCGAAATACAAGGCTGGGCTAGGCAGAGGTCAGACGTTCCCACCCAAAAAGGGAGAAACAGGAAGGAAAGCTGGAGTTCCAGGTCCCGAGCAAGTCTCAGACAATGCGGGGGGAATTCAGTGAGCATCTCCCCAGGACTCTGCTGGCTAGGACTGACAAATAGGAGTTACATATATCTAAGGTATACACAATGCTATTTCAATATACATTGTGAAATAATCACAGTCAAGCCGCTCCATTGCCATATCCGTCACTGTACAGGTGGCTGTTTTTTGGGTGGTGAGAACACTTACAATCCACCCCCAGCACGTTTCCAGCGCTCGACTCAGTTTCGTTCCCTAGAGCCCCTTGGCCGTTAGGTTCTAAGCCTGAGAAGGGTCCTCTGCACCTGCCAGGTGGCCCTGGCCCTCAGCCGGCAGAGCCCTGTCCAGGAAGGAGGTAGTTTTGGGGCACACATGTCAATTTCAGGTAGCTGGGCAGAGCCCTGGCATGCCTAGGAGGGGCTCCTTTCCCCACTAACCCCTCCTGTTTCTCCCTGGCAGGTCTGGGTGGGTAGCCGAGGGCTGTGGCAGGGAACACCCAAGGGGAAAATCTACGTGATTGATGCCGAGAGCAAGACCGTGGAGAAGGAGCTGGTGGCACACATGGACACTGTGAGGACGCTGTGCTCGGCTGAGGACAGATACGTGCTGAGTGGGTCGGGCAAGGAGGAGGGGAAGATCGCCATCTGGAAAGGAGAATAGCGTGGCTGAGCGTGCCAAGCGGAACCATGCCCTCTGTGTGGGGACCGGCTTCCCCCCGTTGCTCCAAAGAGCCCGTCAGGAGCAGAAGCCCCAAGTGGTGAGGGGCAGGGCAGCCCAGGCTCAGCATGGAGCTTCCTTACCGTGTGGTCAGCAGCTTCTCATAGGCCTTTGGGCCCCCTGGCTAAACCTCACGGAGAGTGTGTCCTGCTGGGGTACGTCTCAGGCAGGCAGCCGCATCGTGTTGGTGATAACCTCTATTGAGATGTTACTTTGTGTATTGCCTGGAAATTGCTGGAAACCACAACCATGGGCTGGCATGAAGCCGGAGACTGAGTCACAGGTGACCTGAGGCTCTCACCTCTCTGGTCTTCCTTTCCTTACCTCATGCATTCACTTACCTGGTCCTTAGGCATCACAGAGGAATGCTGGGCTGGGCACCTGATGGTGAGCCCGGGGCCTGCGAGAAGGAAGAGTGGTTCAGATAACAAAGGGTCTGTCTCCTGGCAGAGAAGGGGGGCAGGGCCTGTGCAGGTGGAGGGGACCACAGTGGGATAAGGTTTTTGGGACAGGGGTTGGGCCAGCTGAGGCAAGATGTCTTTTTTCCTTTTCTTTTTAATAATGCACAATTTTTATAATAATCCTAGAGACCTTTTATCTGCCAAAGATCGCAGACCAAAAGAAGTTCCATCTGAAATATGCTCAGGAAACTACACAGAATCTAAAGAAAAAGTAAAATAGCATCATGCGTGGTCTCATATTCCAGTGAAGATGCCCCAGATGAGTGTGCGGTTCAGCCCCTACGTCCGTGTGCGCACTGGATGTGCACGGGCAAGACGCCGCACTGAACTGAACATCTTAGCTGTACACAAAGATTTGCAAAAGGGACCTTTTGTGCTTTTTTACTGTAATGTTGAGATTTCATCACTTAGATGTTCCGTGGAAGGTTCTGGTGTGGCTTCTGGAGCTGGAGACAGCATGTCAGCACATGCTGAGGGCGTGGGGCCTGCCCCCTGGGCACGCATCCATGGGCTGGGCCGTGGAGCCCTGGCTTCTCAGGACACAGCCCCAGAGTTGGCACACCCCGAGTATCTCTGGAGGTGTTTGCCAGGCTCCTGGAACAGGACACCTTCAGAAACTCTGCAGGGCCTCCAGATGGAAAGGCAGGCTGGCTTCTGGTTGGGTCTGCATTTTGGAGAGTCTACACCACAGGCCAGCTTTTGCCCAGGCTTGGCTTCGCATGGCCACTCACCTCTTGGGCGTTCTGACAATGTGGGCAGAGCAGAGCTTTGTGGCTTCATCCTCCCCCAAGGCTGTGCCTACGGCGGGGGCATGATCCCAATTTCTAGCAGGGGAGAGGTTGGAGTTTGCTTTTATAAACACATGAATACTTATAAAAGTCTGTCAAAAATACATGTATAAGTTATTTAATGCCAGTCCTCAGGTAACCTCAGGCATTGTCAGCTTATGGATAATAAATTTTGTTGATTAAACACTGATGTCCAGCTTGCTTCCTCTATCCAGCAGTGACTGGTGGGAGGTCTTGAAAATGGAATGACCCCGGGCCGTTCTGAGCTCCTTCTATCTCAGCACCCATCGCATTTTTAATGCAGACTCTTCATTGTCTTTTTCTCCGTGGTGATAATTTCCAAGATCTTACTTGACAGTGACTGCGTTTTAGGAAATGGTCACTCATATAAAAGAACACAGGTGAACAGAGGCGCTAACAGGGAGTGAGTGTGCTGGGCAGGCACCGTTCTGTGTTTGCCCCGTGTTCTGCAAACGGAATCCTGGCCGGTGGAGTTGACTGAAATGGAAAGGGCACTGTGATGCCTTCGATTTTCCCCCTGTGCTTCGGAGAGATTCCATTACAAATGATTTGTCATGGAAAGGCCCCAAATGAGTAGGAATTCGTGGAACAGACTGTGATGCCATCCCTGCCTCGGTTTTAGAGACATGAATTAAATTGGTACAAAAATGATTTCTCTTGAACCAGAAACAGCTCTCCTGCCGTATTTCAAACAACAGAAAAGAAAGCTTGCTTCGGGGAGCTGGCATGGTTCACACCACCAACCAAAAGCTTATGCCAGCTCCCCATTGCTGACGCAGAGCGTGTAAAGACAGTCACCTGGTAACGTTTCCGTGATCTGTTCTTGGAAGATATGTGCACAGGAGCCGTTTTCAAGTGACGGCCGTTGTTACCATTAGATATGACTATATAACATCTGAATTAAGAGTGCATGACTATTTCTCGAGGATTCCTCGGACAGATGAAAGGGTGCTTTCTCCAAGTGTCTAGGGAGGGCATGGAGAGCCTGGCAGGGTGCGTCACTATCCCTACCACCTGCAGCTGTTGGCATGTCCTGTCAGTGCTGTGCCATCCCCCAGAAAGCAAGGCAGAGGCTCTCAGACACAGAGCTGGTTTGCGTTGCCCCCGTTGCTGCCTCTGAGCTGCAGTGCAGGCTGAGGCATACCGGGGGCAGCACTGCAGCTCTGTGCCCTGGAATCATGGAGTATTCTTAGAGACAGCCCAGGGTGACAGGCACTGCAGAGGCACTGGGGCCGCATGGGAGCCGCATCCCGGCCTAGCTGCAGATCTGGCCACCAGCCTTGTGCCCTTATGGGGACAGTTTCTTCCTCAGGGCTCACGTGGAGGCCAACAGGGGCACAGTTGAACACCCAATCTGTTGCTGGGGACCCAGGAGCACCTCTAGAATGTGAAGGGAGAGGAAATGAGGATGTGATGTTGTGGGTTGAAAGGTGCCCTCAAAAGCAGATGTCACATCCCACCCCCTGGACCTGTGAATCTCACCTTATTTGATGAAGGGTCTTTGCAGATGTCATTAAGGATCTGAAGAGGAGGCCCTCCTGGATTCTATGGGGGGCCCTAAATCCAATGACAAGTGTCCTAAGGAGGAGAGGAAAAGACACGTGGGGAGAGGCCACGTGAAGACAGAGGCAGAGCCAGGTGCGATGCAGCCACAATCCCAGGAGCCTGGAGCCACCAGGAGCCGGAAGAGGCCGGGATGCTTCTTTCCCCAGAGCCCTCAGGGGGTGTGGCCCTGCTGGCAACAGCATCTCAGACTTCCGGCCTTCAGAATGGTGAGAAGGTAAAGGTCAGGTGCGTGACCGCCCGTCACCACGCCCAGTTTGTAATTGTTTGTTCCGGCAGCCACAGGAAACTCTCCCAGCTCCCGTCTGTCGCTTGCGTTGCCCGTGTGCTCTAGTCAGGTGCTGTGCCGGGCGCTTTAGGGGCACTGTTGTGTATGATCCTCAGGGCCTTGTGGCGTGGAGAAGATTCATCTCTATCTTACACCCAGGATACTCTGGCCCCAGTACTAAGAGCTAAGTGGAGGTTGGGGGCATACACTTCTCACTGCCAAGAAGGCAGGGCCGCACTTCGAGAGGCCCTCAGAAGCTGCTTTTGCCCCATGCGCAATCTTTCCGGTAGCGCTCACCTTTACCAAGGCGCTGGGAGTGGGGGCTGAGGCTGGCGCTCCTGAGATGTGTTAGCAGCAGACCCAGGCCCATTCAGGGAGGATCCTTAGGTGAGAGAGGGAGTAAACTCACCGTGCTTTGATGGTGGAGAAGAGTAAGTCTCCGTAACTCTGCATCTGTCCCTGAGGGTCACGGGAGCGTATTCTGTGGCTCTAGGCCCTGGCCAGCAAAGCACTGCTGCAGTTCTGCTGGGTGTAGTGCTGGTCATCCAGGGATAGCGCTGAGGCCATGTGTGCAGGGGCTGATGGGCTCACAGGGAGGTGCGGTGGGGCGCTGGTGTAGTCAATGGGGCCTGAGCATCGCTGACGCCCCACATGGATGGCTGCAAAATCAGACATGAAAAATATTCACCAAAACACAGGAAAGCAGTGACAGGGGATCAAAAAGCCAGATGTGACAAGTAGAACATGAGCAGCAAGATGGTGGACTGAACTCTAGCTGTACCAATAATTACATTACGTGTAAATGGATGCAGCACTCCAAGTAATTCAAAGGCAGAGGTTGTCGATCTAGATCCAAAGGGAAACCCAACGATAAGTTGTCTATAAGTGATAAGCTTTAAATATAAAAGCACAAGACAGGAGTGAGGATGGAAAACCTTTTAGGCTGGATGTGGTGGCTCACACCTACAATCTTAGCACTTCAGGAAGCTGAGGCAGGAAGATCACTTGAGCCTAGGAATACGGGACCAGCCTGGGCAACCCAGTGAGACACCCCATCTCTATAAAAACGTTGTAAAAAATTAGCTGGACATGGTGGTGCACACCTGTAGTCCCAGATACTCCTGGGGCTGAGGTGAGAGGACGGCTTGAGCCTGGGAAGTCAATGCTGCAGTGAGCTGTGATCATAGCACTGCACTCAGCCTGGGCGACAGAGCCAGGCCCACTGCGCTCGGCCTGGGCGACAGAGCGAGTCCCTATCTGAGAAAAAAAAAAAAAGTTTCACTATGCAAACAATAAGCATAAAAAAGCTTGTATGGTGATGTCACTGTCAGACAAAACATAATTCATGGTATCTTACAAGAAGCAAATGTGAAAGCATAAGTTAACTCATCTCTTGATGAACTGACCTAATAATAGAGATTCAAGAGAATGAAGCAAGCATGGAAAAGCCATAGGAGAAAACAGACGAAATCCGTCAGATTTTAACCCCCTTCTCTCAGAAACTGATAGAACAAGTAAACAATTCACAGGGATAAGATTTAACAACAGGACCAACCAGCCTGACCTGACATAGAACGCTACACCCAACAACAGCAGAAGAGCCGTTCTTCCCACATGCACGTGGAATGTTCACCAAACTGGATTATATGCTGGGCTATAAATCTGAAGATTGAAATGTTACAGAATATGTTCTCCGACCACACAGAAATAGAATGGGATGTCAACGGTGGTTACATGCCGAAAAATCCCAAAATTAAAATCATGTTGGGAAATTAACATACTTCAAAATAACCCGTCAGTCAAAGAAAAAACACAAAGGAAATAGGAAAATATCTTCAACTCGATGACACTGAAAACACAGTATGTCAGAATGTGGGATGCAGGCCGGGCACAGTGCTTCATGCCTGTAATCCTCCACGGCAGGAGGATCCCTTGAGCCCAGGAGTTCGAGACCAGCCTGGGCAACATGGGGAGACACTAGATCTTCATTTTTAAAGAAAATTCAAAACAAAATGTATAGGACGTAGCTAAGGAGAACAACTACAACTTTAAATGCCTGTGTTAGAAGAAGGCTTTCAAATCAGCTACATAAATTTTAACCATAAGAGTGCAGAAAAATAAACGTCTTTTAAAATAGAATGAGTAAAGGAAGAAAGGGAAAGCGAACAGCAAAGCCAGAAGCCGGTTCTCCAACTGATAAACCCTATCGAGACTGACCAAGAAAAACTCACGTGCACAAATTTCATTCCACTCTCAGGAACGAAATGGAATACAAATCTTACACCCATCAAAAGACACTGTGAATAACTACGTAAAATATGCAAATTTCTTAAAAATAACTTTATGAAACTAACACAAGGAGGAATAAAATCTGAGGAGTCTTACGTCTGTGAAGGAAATTGAGACCCCTGGCTCCAGTGCTTTCACTAGCTAATTCTAACAAACCCTTACAAACAGCACAATAGAATCTACAGAAGCCCTTTCAGAAGAGGAGGAGAGAACCCTTCCCCACTCAGTTTAGGAGACCGGCATGAACCTATAGTTAAATAAAATGGGAAACCAATTTCCATCAGAAACATAGATGCAACATTCCTTGGGTATCTACCCAGAGGAAAATAAGTCATAATATGAAAAAGCCACTTGCACATGCATGTTTAGTGGCACAATTCGAAATTGCAAAAATATGGAACTAGCCCAAATGCCCATCAATGAACGGGTTTGCGAATGTGGCGTATTTGTATCAGAATACTACTCAGCCATAAAAAGGAATGAAATAATGGTATACACAACAATGGATGGAATTGGAGCATATCATTCTAAGTGAAGTAGCTCAGAAACGAGAACCAAACAACTTCTGTTCTCACTCATATGTGGGAGCTGAGCTATGAGGACGCAAAGGCATAGGAATGATACATGGACTCTGGGGACTTGCGGGGAAGGGTGGGAGAGGGAAAGGGATGAAAGATTACACACTGGGTACAGTACACACTGCTCGGGTGATGGTGCACAGAAATCTCAAATCATTGCCAAGGAACTTACCCATGTAACCAAACACCACCTGTTCCTCTAAAACCTAAAAAAAACCAACAACCCCAGAAACGAAAACAAAACAGACAGAACATTTTTAAACAAAATAGTAGCAGACTGAATCCAGCAATATTTTTAAAGGTTAATACATCATGACAAAGTGGGGTTGCAAAATGCAAGGTCAATTTAATCCTCAAAAATTGATCGGTGTTACTTACCGTATCAGTAAAACCAAGGGGACTTCTCAAATTGACAACATTCACGAGAAACCCACAACAAGCGTCACACCTAATGGTGAAAGACGAACTGCTTCCCTCAGAATGGGACCACGGACCTTCGCTTTCCCTTCCTACTGACATTGCACTAGCGGTTCCGGCCAGGGCAATAGGGAGGCATGGAGACCGTGCTGGTTTAGCAGAACACTGAGGGGAGAAGACGACTGTACCGGAAGACGGCAAGACCCTTTACATAAATCCTAAAGAATCTATTTTAAAAACCAGAACATTTTTCTAGGAAGGTACTAGATAAAAGGTCAATATATGATCATTGCATCACTATATTCTAACAGCAAACAACTTGTAAACTTTTAAAATACTTACAGTAACAGAAAGAACACATTCAATAGAAATAAATTAACGAATGATGCGGAAGACTGAAAACTCAGAGACGCTGAGAGAAATGTTAAGGACGGAAAGATGTTTTCCAGGACTGAGATTAAACACTACAAACATGTTAGTCATCTCCGAATCGACCGGACAGATTCAGTTTAATCCCAGTCAAAATCCTAACAGAATGTTTAAAAAAGAAATTGAGAATTTGATAAGATATATGGAAATGCAAAGTAGAATATTTAAGATAAGCTTCAAAAAGACGATCAAGCCGGGTGGGGTGGCTTGAGCTAGAGGACTCATGTATATCTTTATGCTTTGCTAAAAAGCTACAGTAATTAAAACGGTAGGGTTTGACGTAAGCATAGATAATTAAATCAGTGGGGAAAATGTAGGGTCTAGATGCACTTGCATAAAATCAGTGGACTGCACAGAAACAAGTTCCACGACGATTCAGCAGGGACAGTGCTTGGCAGACACTGCTGCCACGACGGGATGAACGTGCTCCTCACTACACAGTTTCACTGTGTAACTGTGTGGCTCACTGACCTTGGCGTGAAGCTAGAAGCTCTAGAAACAGGCATATCTTTGCCACCTTGGTGCAAAGACCTTTCTAGAGAGAACACATAAAAAAGCTAAACTCTAAAGAAAAACTTGATAAATTGGATGTCATCAAAATATGTCATTAAGGAAAAAAGAAAATATTTGCAGTATTCTATCTGGCAAAGGATTTTTATCAAAAATATATTCTACAAATCGACAGCAAGATGAACAGCTCAACTGAAAAATGGGCAAACAAGGCTGGGCATACTGGCTCATGCCTGTGGTCCCAGAAATTTGGGAGGCCCAGGCAGGAGGACTGCGTGAACCCAGGAGTTTGAGATCAGCCTGGGCAATACAGGGAGACTCTATTTCTTAAAAAAAAAAAAAAAAAAAAGCAGGGCATGGTGGTGTACACCTGCAGTCCCAGCTACCTGGGAGGCTGAGGCAGGAGGATGGCCCGACACCAGGAGACTTCAGTGAGCCATGATCAAGGTTGGGCACTCCAGCCTGGGCAACAGAGGGAGACCCTGTCTCAAAACAAGAAGTCAGACCCTGGAATGCTAACAGCTATGAAAGAATGCAGTGGGTCTACGTGCAAGAACAGGGAGAGTTGAAGATATTTGGCTAAACAACAGAAAATGTAGATTGCAAAACTCTGCACAGTGGTCCAAATTTTGCTAAAAAAAATTAGCATTAGTAATGTGGAGACAAAAATGTGAAGACTCACGCCTGTAATCCCAGTATTTTGGGAGGCCGAGGCCGGCGGATCACTTGAGGTTAGGAGTTCGAGACCACCCTGTGTCCATTAAAAATACAACAATTAGCAGGGTGTGGTTAGTGCATGCCTGTAATCCCAGTTTGAACCTGGGAGGCGAGGTTTCGGTGAGCCAAGGTTGCGCCACTGCACTCCAGCCTGGCCAACAAAAAGAAAAAAAAAAAAGACAAAAAGACTGCAGGTTGGGAGGCCCGAGGCACTGAATTTCTGCCTTGGTGACTTCTTCTTGCCCCATGATGGCTGCTGGGCACTCAGGGAGGGCATATCCTTGGCAGGCATCCTGGGGAAAGGCCAGGAAAGGGGCCAGTGCTGGTCGTCCCCTCCTAGCCTGGGGAGAGTTGTCGAGGTGCGGGATGCAGGTCCGGTGCTAGCTCAGGTGGGCCAGGTGAGGCAGTGGGGCTGGTGGGCGGAACACACGCCCGGTCCCCTGCCCCTTCCCCAGCGGTCC